ATATGTAAGTGCGAGATTTCTTACGTTAAATTTGGCAGATGTTGTCTCACTGGTCGAATTCGACGGACGATGTCTCACTGGTAAAATTCTGCGAACTGTGTTCACGTGACTGGTGTCGGTAGCTTTTTCGTATGCCGGCCTTTTTTCCCAACCAGGGCTGCGATGTACTTATTCCACGTTAACAACATCATGGCATTCATCGGAATACCAAATTACCTTTTCCGCATTTCCCCGAATACCGAATCCCATCGCCTTATGGCAAAACAGGAAACTAATTATTCCTCGACCTACAGCAGCTTCGCTGTTATCATCCAATGACGCGATGCATGCCTGAATGGATGATACAGTTTGCGAGTTGTGTAGTTATATCTTCCATTTCAAGTAATGTTTTTCTTGATGGTATCGTCTGGTCTCTGGACATACAAATAAAATGCTAAGTTTCAGTGCCGCGCCATCGATTCAAAGTCACGAAACATTCTCTGTAGTCCGGATCAGTGTTGACTCCTCGCCTACCTCTTCTACACATACCCCTCATACACTTTTGATTGTCGGATAATGAAGGGAACTCCGAGAACATCAAAGTAATTATGGTGGGAAAGGATCTCGCCGAAGTGCCACGACGACAGTCGAGGCACCGGAGAAACCCCAGAACCGGAAACATTGGGCTTCGTGAGAGGTACGTCAGTGTACGTACGCGAGCTGCAAGTCGGTGAATGAGTTGAGAAATGCCGTGCCACTTGGCGAGACACTCTGGGCGTGACGAGTCGGGATCATGATCTGATTCGCCACGCGCCTAAAGGTCCGTGGCATACAAACACCCCAAGACAGCAAGACCGGCCGCTAACTTTTCTACGTCACCTAGAAAGGCCAACGCTGGGTGCGGATTGCACACGAATACTGCGCCAGAGTTTCGGTGAAGCTTGCCTTCATTTTCTGAGGGCACGAGCCTTTGCCGAGCGCTGAAACATCACTCGTCTTCAATCCGTACTCCCGCATTGGCCTCTTTAGGTGACAGAAAAAATCGAGCCCTTCGGCTTGTGAGTTAGCAGGTGTTTCAGGCCATAGGTCTTTGGGCAAGCGACGAATCAGATGATAATTTTGACTCCGCCAGAGTCAATGCTGAGAGTCGCGTGTCAAGTTATAGGACATTTTTCAACTCCTACCCGGACTTCCAGCTCTAGTATACGTACTGACCTATTTCTCACGAAGCTCGGAGTTTCTGGTTCTGCGGTTTCTCCGGTGCCTCGAGTTTCGCAGCACTTGAGCGAGAACATCTAGCGCACCACAATTTATTCTTAGAGTTTCCCTTCACTCTCCGAAAACCAAAAGTTTTCACAGTTTGGTCGTCGAAGTTCAGGAATACTTTATTTGATTAAGGTTAACAGAAGAAACATGCGCGGAGTTTGCAATGGTTTCATTGGCTCTTAAAGTGCTTCTGAACGTCTTCACGACCTTGATACTTGGTTTTCACATGCTCACGAACAATTTAATTATATAATTGTTTCAGGTTAACCCGCAGCGCCAGAGGTATTGTTGCAGAGGGAGTGAGTGTGTACAGCAGCGTAAAATAATCACTTACTAGAATGTTCGCATGCGTAAAATGAAGCAAGAAAAAACAACAAACACTGCACATGACGTTAGAATTCATCGCAAAAAAAAACAAAAAAAAAAACACGAAGATCCATCGCTGGATTCTTAGGGGATCCGTTAGCATGACCCTTGAGGAACACCAAACACCCCCCTTTGGGAATCGCTAACGCTGACACCTTAACTTTCATGTTTTAGCTTTCTCTTGTGCTTTTCTTTATATTTTTTGCTGCTTTTTTGCCTTGTTACGGGGTCAGTGTTAGCGTTTCCCAAAGGAAGACGTGTGCGGCGTTTCCCAAGAGTCATGCTAACGCATTTCCCAAGAATCCATCATTGGATAATCCTGTTCTTTTTCACCCCTTTTCCGTAGCCTGCCTGTCAGGGTACGTCGACGCCCTTGGATACAGTCATCCATATCACTCGTGTAAAGAATCACATCCATACCACTCGTGGAACTAACCGAATCCATATCACTCATGGAGGGAACCGCATCCATCCTTTTAACTACACACACACATGAACCACTACCACGGAAACTCGGAGCGAAGAGCAATCGGTGACATCCGGGCGGCAACTGAGCAAGCCCGCACTCCACAGCGCCGCGTTGCGTCTCCCTCTCGGGCTCCGCGTCAGCTGTGAGCGTGACTGTGAGGAAAACGAAAGGGCTCGTTGTGAAAAAAAATCACGAGGTGTCTGTCAGTATGTTAGCACCGCGGAGAGAGGGAGGCTTGACGCGTGCTGACAGCAGCGCTTGGGACCAATGGGAGTGTCGCACGCGTCATCCTCTCCCCCTCTTCGCGGCGCTGACAAACGAAAGACACCGCCGGGTTTTCGTCAAAGCGAGCGTTTTAATGCTCACGCATTAAAATACTCACAGGCAGACGCACACACACACACAAGTTGTCTGCTGGTTTAAACAACCGCACTAGGAAAAAAGTGACACAGAGGGTGATGGCCAGAACAAGACAGATCAGAACAAAACGAATTAGTTGCCGAGATCATCAGTCCTAAAAAAAGATAAAATAACGAACATGAAATTTGCACACATTTTTTTCTGGTTTTATGTATGACAGCCGGCTGAACTATCGCGATCCAGTCTTATGGAAGAGAGCATTGTAGAAGATTGAAACGATGTTTCTAGAGTTAATTGCTCTTCGATATAGCATTAGGAATTACTGAATACCTTAAAATGTTTGATTGGGGTGTATATTATTAATTTTACTTATATTGGTAGAAAGGGATAGAAAGAAGGCAGGTGAATATATTTCGACTTATATAACCCGGTTTGATCATGGCTGCTTCGCAGATGGGTCTTTAATTTGATCATGTCATTTGACATCTGAGACTGTGGTGCAGAAAAGAAAAAACCTTCTATTCGACAGATGTTAAATGACATGATTAGCTACCACCAGCTCATCTGCGCACTTACAATATTAGGCTGGCCACCGTGGGACAACAAACTTAACGGCCTAAGATCAGCAGTACTGCTGCGTTCATGCACTTCCCGAATTGCCCGTGCACAGCGAAGACCCAACGCGCAATTTCAGAGCAGCCACGGCTCCATTTTATCTCGCACCACAATCAAAAACATATGCGTGCAAATAAGTTTTTTTTTAATTTTTTTTTTTTTTTTTTTGCAAGAGCGTTTGCGTAAGAAAATTACACATGCTTGTCCACGCTGATAAAACCGGGAAGCATAAAATGTGTTCCGCGCGAACCAGACACATACCTAATTTTTTTCTATTTCTTGTTCTTCTTTTAGTTTTAATTTTTTTTATTTTTTGTTAGACGCTTTTAGCGTGTGGCTCGTGTGTGACGCTCGTTAAGGATTATTTTTTTTTCCACATGAAAAAGACCTATAAAACATATTGCGTTAAAAAACCCAAAGTAAAACCATGTACTTACTCCCATGAGCGTGCTTGAATTGCCGTGTGTGGTGAATTTAAATGGTGAGCATATATCATAAAAATAACATAAAAATATAGTCTCACGATTACCATCTTATAGCTTGTAGTGTATATTTTGTTTTTGCCTCGAAGTGCAGTGAGGGAAAGAATGTGAGCACGATCTGAACGTTTTACGTCAAGGTTACGAGCTGTACAGCCCTTGAATGACGCACATGAACACGCTCGTAAGGCACAAGATAAGAACTTTTTCCCCGGTAAAAAACAACAACAAATCTATTCCTATTCTAGAGAGATACTTTAATGGAAATTAAGATTTCAGAATCTACACCTACATTCGTCTCAAGTTTTCAGGATATACACCACCTTTTTTCTATTACTAAAACCATGACCGTTATATATTTTTTGTTGTCGTTAAGGAAACAAAGTTGCAAGACGTCGCATTGTTTGTTCGGAATTTTCTGGACTTGAAAATTTGCACGAAGAGTGGAGTTTATTTGTAGCTTGTAGTCGATATATCGTTTTACAAAAACCTTTCTCACAGAACGAGTCTAATGGCAGCTTTAGTGAAGCTTTCTCTAGGAAACCGGAGACCTGGCTCGCATCACATGCCGCATAAAGGACCCTCTCGCTAAAGGAGATTTTAAGGTTAAGCACGCAGCTCGGGAAGCTCAGATCTATGGAGGTTATGCTGAGAGCAAGTTCGTCTGCTTCTTGCTCCGGGGTTGCGATGATGTCAGGACACCTAGTTCTTATTGGCTGAATGAAAAACAAAAATAGTGTGCAGACCTCAAGGCATCTAGCGTTGAGGTTTACTCACAATCCTCCAAATCAAAGCCAATCAAAGCTCGGCGTGGTTCTGACGTCACTGGAACTCCCGCGTAGGAAAACGTGCTCTCCGCATAGACATCATTCTGCTTGATTTTCGCTAAAAAGAATGTGGCATACTCCGTTTCAAAGTACCACCACGACCGACGCAACGATCTAATGGAACCAATCAAGCACAGCATACTTGGCTCCATGTTTCGTTGCGCATTTATGTAGGTTCAAATGATCCGCTTTAGCATTAAATCCTCGAAATGAGGTATTTGAACGTGCGACACGTACACCTCACAAACTAGAAGCTCAAAGTCCTCGCGCATTAGATGGCTTCCCAGAAAATTTCCCTGGTCTGTGCGCGCTGCTATTGCGCAACAAAAAAAGCTTTCTTGAGATAAAAACAAAACAAAAAAATTCACAAACAAACAGCGCCTTGGACATTTTTGAATACAAGCTCGGGAGGGTTTGAAAAGACTGTCCAACGCTCACTTCCGGGACAACTCTCTTACTTCAGGTGGCTTCATGCCTGATTTGCTCAAAGCGCCATCGCGCCTCCTATTAGAAATAACGGGCCTTATTGGCAACAATATTTATTCGTAGTTTTTCTTTGTTACAATCGAATCTTACTTCAAGAACAAGACGTATTGGTTTATGTCCTAAATATTATTTCTTTTTTCGCTTTGGTTTTAGGAAAAATCCCGGTTACCCAGGTTTCCAAAAGCAATGCCTCCCGTCTTTCCAAACGGCTGGATCCCTGTCATGGAGTCCACGGATCTGGGAGTCGGAGACGTAAAAAGCGTGAGAGCATTCGGTACGTTGTCCTTTGCGTTTCTGTTAGGGATCCGGAAGGTTGGGTACATTCTTCGGGGTACTTAGTCGTTACTTTTCCGGGAGTTTTTCCTCGTGGCATTGTTGAATATGCGTTCCCAGAATTTCCTGCCGTTTCGCGAACGTCAGCGTGCAGTATCCGTGCGTCAGGCAGCACGTTTATGGTCTAGTTTTTCTTTCGCAGACGCGTATAAAAACAATGGGTTGCAATAGGACACAGAATAGTATTTTATATCCACGTAAAATGAAATGTTAGCAAGATTCGTGGGGACCTGACGTGCTACGAATTCATGAACAGGTATCAGATATCGTGATAATATATTAGAAATCGCATCTGCGTGTATTGCTTTGCATACTCCGCTTCTCATATTTTTCCAGTAGAAACACGCAATATCCAACGCGTAATAAACCATACCCCCCTCCCTAAAAAAAAGGCTAGATGTTATTGTGTATAAGACGCAAACTTTAAACTTACTATCGTTTCGTGACTCCTTTGAAGAGCTTTACTGTATGTTTTTGAGCTCCAAACGCACAGAATGTCGGACAGAGGTACTAACATTTGACATCTATGAGATACCTTAAAAACGCCTGCAGTTTTTCTTTTTTTTTTTTTTCACGTTGCTGGTTGCATGTCATATTTTATGATGAACCATTTTTGAGAAAAGAGAAAAGTAACGCTAAACATGAACAACTGTTTCAGATATCCACTCTTCCCTCCGGCACCTACAGACTGGAGAGATTAAAGAAATAATATTGGCTCTGTGGCGACGTTTTATAATTTTGTGGAGACTATAGCCTTGCACTTAGCTATTTTCTATCGGTGTACCACTGCATTTGTTTTTTAAACACTTTTACTGCGTCTTTTTGAGTGGAGCTGGTAGTATTCTCAAAATAAATAAGAAAGTTTTGCGTGCGACGTCGCAGGAGAGGACCTGGTCGTCTTCCGCACACAAGACGGCGTGGCCCACGTAGCGGACGCCTACTGCCCCCACCTGGGGGCCCACCTGGGAGTGATGGGTCGCGTGGTGGGAGACTGCATCGAGTGCCCCTTCCACGGATGGAGGTTCAGAGGAGAAGACGGGGTTTGCACGCACGTGCCGTACAGCGCGAAGGGTAGGATCATCTTGACTTTCTGCGAGATAATAGTGTGCGCAAAAACTTTATGTGCCTCAAAAAATTGCGTCGTCACCATGCGGCATCTCATAACGCAATGTGGGCTCTTCACGTGCGCGGTGGTGAAGACGCTATTTTTTGGCCTACGCAAATGTGTTTTATACGCTATTCTAAAGCTGGCCAAGTCGCAACATTAGGCGTTGTAAATTTTCTACGCTTCGGTTCCACAGTTTTGTTACACATTTCTGGTTGGCTATCGACTTTCGACTTGCTCTGTGGATTCTTATTTCGTTAATGCAAGCTCATATGCTCCTTGTGTTGTCACCTTTCTATTTGGATGATCTGCGTTTCATGGTGTGTTGATATCGTTCGATATTTCTCTCTTCAAATTTTGTATTTTTCAGTGCCGGACTTCGCTAAAATGAAGACGTGGAAATCTGAAGAGATAGGGGGACTGGTGTTTGCGTGGTACCACGCCGAAGGCGAGCCACCAAGCTGGCTACTCACCGACATCCCCGAGATCGCATGCCCGAAATGGGACAACATTGGGAAGCGCAACGAGAACGTCATCTATTGCCACATTCAAGAACTAGTCGAAAACTCGGCGGACATCGGCCACTTCGATCAATTGCACGGGCCATCGTGCCTCGTCAAGGGCGAGAACTTCAGCGTCGATGCCGAGACCACGTGGTGGGGCCGCCTCATGTACCACAGGTGGGAAACGGCCTGGACGTCCCGCGGGCACTTGGGCACAGTGCACGTCGTCTGCAAGACATTCTGCTCCCTGGAATGGTTGCGGAATCTGCAACGGTACGAGTTCGACCTTCTCCAGATCGGACCGGCGCTGGTCCTGACGACCATGAGGACGCGGTTCGGAAACGTCTCGTACATTCTGTCCGTTACGCCGGAGAAGCCGTTTCAGCTCCGAGTCGTGCACCGCTACTTCCCAGACCGGAGGATGCCTCGACTCTTCTTCCTCTTTTTCGTGTGGGCGTCGAAGCACATGGTGAGCTTGCGTTTCAAGGACATGAGGAATTTGTATAACGCTGGTTGTAATCTAGCAGAATGCACTTATCGTTATAAGATCTACTGTTGCTTTCTTAGCCTTTCCTTCCATATGTCTTAGGTGCAGGCGAAATATTTCACGAGCAAAGTTAAGCTTGTACTAACGTGCGCTGAGCACACCTTTCTGGCAGCAAGGCCTGTTTCAGGGTTACCTGTATGATGCCAGCGCTGGGCACAAATAGGAGTGCTGCGTAAGCGTTTGACCACGACTTATGTCCGTGCTGAATGATGTCAGCTGAACGCTGACGCCTCATTCTGGTTCATTCTCTCTTGCAGTTGAGGCCAAAAATTCAACACTACAGCCTCTCTATTTCTAAAAGGCGTTGATACCGTGAGGCTTGCAACCGCACATTGAAACTGGATTGTACTGTACCCTGTTCATCTTTAACTTGTAGGTGCACCATCATCGTGTGCTATTTCGATACTTCTTTCGAATCTAACCTGACAGAGCGATGGATGAGCTAGCTACACCAATCACACACCAGGTAGCACGCCAAAAGAAAAGAACAAACTTGGCAGAAGGTTGGCAGTGGGTTCTATTTTGGGCCTATATTAGGGTTTGGGCCCAAGGCGTTATTTAGTACCAGAGTGACATTTTCGGACGATTCTATCGGTTTTAGCTGACTCACCACCTAACTGCCAGGGTTCCAGACTTGAGCCGAAGGTGCCACGTTTGAACCGAAGGACCAGCAGCAGCAAATTCTATTATCTGGCACTTTTTTTTTGACAATTTAGGTGCAAAAGTTGCCACATGAAAACGGAACAGCCACAAGTGAAGCCCAACTCTGGCGCTTGTTCGGTAAATTAAGCTCAAGACTTTCTCCGGTTTCTGACCAGAGAAGGTCAAAATTGTCTCTATCTTGGCCTCTTTGGGCTTTTGAAGGTGCTACATTTCCAGACAAAGACCAAAAAATGTTGGCACAAATAACTGCGCTACTTGGGACGGCTATTTCTCGCTAAGCCATTGCACTCTCGGCTTTTTGCGGACGTGCAGAGACCTGAATCAGATGATGAAAGTATGGTGCCTGAAACGCTTCTCCGACTGGTGTGCTTACCGCGTCCAAAAAAAGTGGTCCCTCGAATCCCGCCTGATGACGTCATAGGAGTGCAATGCTGTCGCCGGTCGCGATCCTGGCGGCGTCCCAGCAGTAGTGGCGGATGTGTGCAGACTCCTGTTCCGCTGCAGGTCGCTCTTCACTGTGACAGTCCACGGAAGCTTCGGCAGTCAAGAGTTTAGACGCCGCGACGACAGTGACACCCACGGTTGCTCGTGCTTTTTGCTGGAACTTTAACGACCAACCACCAGGATCGCGACATCCGACAGCGTGACACTCTGGCTTTTGTGACATCCTTTGTGGCCACTTCGGGACCACTATCGATGCACGGGCGGAATAGGACGCTATAAAGACTAGTCAGGTACGCGATCCAGGCAGCGGGATGAAAGGGAGGTGGTTGATCGGTCCGCGAGAGCGCGTCGTTCCCACCATTTGTGCCCGCTTTGCGCAATCATTCGCAACTCCAAGGGAGTGGCGCCACTCAGCGGAAACGACGTGAAGGACAGAAGAGGGTAACTGCTTTATATATAAGTGTGTAGCTAGCACTGGCCGGATTTTTCGGCCGATTCGTGGAACGTTAGAGAGGCGATGAAATGCAGGAGGTTGGAGTTTTCCAGTAGGCTTTGTGTAACACCGGCCAACGGAGATACGACCCAAAATTAAAATTCGAAGAATAAGCTGCAAAACAATTCCTCCACTATCTATAAAAATAAATAAATAAACAAATAAATAAATAAATAAATATATTTATCACGCCTTTTTCTTATTTTTATTTTTAATGCTTTATTCCATTTTTATGTAAAAATTTAATTTTGTAACTTTTTGTGTTTAACTTTGACTTTTATTCCGTCATTTTTAAGTGTATTCTCCGCATATCAAGCGTTTTTGCGTCTAGATTGTTCTTGTAAACTAACACATCTTTATATACTGCACTTTACTCGTTTTTGCTTTGTGACTTTGTTTTCTAAAATTAGTTTTTAAGATAGTATTTTTTTAATTTTTTTCTCATCTAACGGTTGCCCTGTCTCTGCACCTTACTTTTGCCTATATATATGCACAGGGTATTTCACGAAAGGTGGACAAATTTGGCATTGCGGAAACTACGCGTCGCAAGAAAAAAAGACTTGTGTCGTTTTGTACTGGGCCAGGGGCCTATTTATGAAAATTATTAAAGTCCGGGATAATTGGATTGTTAATTATTTTTGCGTAATCAACTTTCTTAATATTGTGTTTAGGGCATGGTTTAAATCAGAAATTTGCTTAGCATCACCGAGAAACACTAAATCAACAAATTGCAGAAGGATAGAAGGCACGCGAAGCATATTACGGCTTTTTGAAAAACCGTACAAATGCAATCGAAGTGGCAGGAAACATTAAAGAAAAACAAGCAGCGTTCACCGCCTCAACTCGCAGCCGAATATATGCCGCCAATGTTTATCATAGCCACGCGCTGGGGTTATGTTGGCAAAGCACATGACACGCGCTGCGTTCCAGACATTGTTAGGGTTCGGCTGTTGTCGTCATTGTAGTGATTGGAGACGGGACACTACCCGAATGCATCTCGAGCTATCGACTATCACAAACCCAAGCCGAGGGCCCACACAATACTCGGGACCAATCTATGAGCCGCATTCAAATATCGCCGCTGGAGGACAGTGCAACTGCCCAGCTACGTGATCAGTTTTTGCGAAGGAAGATTGAACGGAAACGCTCGTTTTTGTCTTTGAAATTACACCTCAACATATTAGTTTCTTGGCCAGTGGCGTTGCGTGCGAGTATCTTTGAGTCCCACTAGCGCAAGGAAGCTCGTGTAAAGGGAAAAAAAGCTCGACGTACACCTAAGCATTCCTTATGAGTTGTGAATGCGAAAGCATGCAGTCGCTCGTCCGCTCCCTTTGTCGTCTGCTACGCACCAGCGCGCGTGCGCTCGGGAACTTGGAGTCCATGGCGCAGAGACTAATCGGAGCCCCGTCGACGCGCGCCAGCCAATGGAACCGAAGGCAAAATGGAAACTATATAAGAGCCGTTTTCGCTCTTCAAACTGATGACCTCAGCTCGCTTCATGAAATAGTTAATGCTTTTGCATTTAAGCATTCTAATTGAATATTGTTGCACCTCCCCGTAAATATATTATTGTTCACAGAAAGCAGGGGAAAGGCTTGCGTTCGTAATTGGTCTAGTTTCGTGTTTAAGACTATTACGCGTTTACATTACTGACTCCGCGGCTCTGATACGTTCAGCGCTGCGGCTCGCAGAACAGAAATTTAGGAGGAGTTTTTCGCTTTCGGATTCTGCAGCGTCTTTACATAATTGCGGCCGATGCAGAAGAACAAAAACAGAGCGCACAAACTGAAACAGAGCCGTCGGAATTTTTCGGGAGATTGGGATGGGATCTGGAATTTCTCCCCCGTCCCCCGTGTTGTTTGCAATACATTTTTAAACTTTCTTAGAAAGGGAGAGGGAAAGGGGGGCAACACCTCGTAGATAATAACGCCTAAGTGCCGAATTTCCCTGCGTCACTACACAGGGGCACGCGTAGGTCGGGGATTGGACACGAATACGGCGTCAGCGTTTGGCAAGGAGTCGTGCTCTCAGCTGCCGAATTCTGAGGCCGTGGTCGTCTCCAATCTTTGGCCTGCAGAGCCTTTCTCTAGTGAAGCAGGAAAATTCAGCAATTAGACTTTCTTATGTAAGGGGAGTGAGGGTAAAAGGGGGGGTAGCATCTGCCCTCCGTTTCTGTTCAGACGCCACTGGACTGAGGTACTAAAGAAAGCACAATCTGCCTCTATCGATTGTAGCATTTAAGTTATCATCATTTTTTTAGAGTTGTTAGAATTTCATGTTAATAAAAAAATAACTCGATAGTTCTGTAATATTGTTAGATTAGGGTAAAGCTAGCATTATGTTGATTGGTAGACACACAAGATAATCTTCATAAATGTTTCTATACCTTGTTTCAGCTTAACTTCAAACGCAGCAACGCTGAGGGGACCAATCAGACGGCGTAAAAAACTCACCATCAAAGTGATTGTGATGCTTGCGCGCATGATCTATGATCGCTTAATCAATCATAAACATAAAAGGCATAATGACGTAAACTTTTGAGGCTCTTTGATTCGTCAGAGTAGCTCGTGGTGTCGGTTGCATCTGAACTTAGGCTAAGGCGAGAGATAGGACCTGTTTGCCGTTTAAAAGAAATTTGTTCTACGATTCTCATGCTCACTTTTTCGAAGTTTTATTTATTTTGTCTTTATTTAAGCATGAACGTTTTTGGGAAGCGTAGATTTCGGGAAAAAAGGTCTGGCGTGAAAATTTAAGCAGTCACCTTACCGGCCACAACTAAGTTTCTTGCGGTAATAATTAGTTCGCACCAAAACTTCGTCATGAGAGAATGTAGTTTCACTTCTACATGCTTAGCCGAAGTGCTGTAAATATTGTTGTGGTCACGAAAACACAGCGTCATATACTCACCCAGCTTTATGCTTTGGCAAGCCCAAGTTTCATTACTCAGTGATGAAAGCGCCAACAAAACTGTCCAAAATAACTTCAACCGCCTGTCTGTGACTCCACAAAATTCACTGCAACTAGCGGTCACAACACGACTGCGTTGAAGTGGAAAAGATTTGCCAGAAAACATTTTTATTGAGTTTTAAATACTTTGGTAATAACCAGCGTAAAAAATACGCTAACTTTTCAGAACTTTTATTAATTTTCCCAGCTAGCGGCGCGGACTTTCCAGCGGCAGGCTGAGAAGGTCTTCGGGGGAGGAAAGGGGGGGGGGGGGGGGAGAGGGGGGGGGGGGTGCTGCGCGTTACCTTTTGGCCAGAACTGGAGATTGAAGCTAACGAAAGCACGCTGGGATTCCATTTCCCATGTACTGTGTCAAGAAAGGCAACATGAGCGTTATTTTGTTTACATGCCACTACTTGAAGCTCGTTACATGGCACGTAAACAGCGTCTCGGTAAGGATCATGGCCCGGGCCCTGCTGCCCCCCCCACCCCCCGGACCTCACCAAGGGGGGGGGGGGGGGGGCACGAGCCCCGATGCCCCCCTGAAGTCTACGCTTATGTTTCCAGCTGTGAAACACTGAACTGCGTAGAATATCTTCCCATGAGACACAATGCAGTATACGTCTCATAGGAGGTAAACAAAATTGTTTAATTCCCGGAGTTACGCAAAGAAAAATGCATCTTGTGAAAGACGAATAATAAAAGCGCCAGATATTTTTAAGCTACCTAATTTTCGCGAATTGGGCAGCTTGAAATATATCGTGGAAAATGTATCCTGCGAATACACCAGACGGTGATACCAAACATGACCCATCTAACTCGAAATCACAAAAGTTTAGGCCTGCGATATTTTTTCCGAAATCCGAACTTGAACCATTTCGCGAAATATTGAACCGCGAAAATAAACTTGTTTAGAATAGATTGAAATAAACTGAATAGCGGAGTGTTTGAGTTGGTGGTAAGTGAAGGTTCCATGTGTGCGTCTTTCTAATACGCGCGAGAGACATAATTAACACCAGCTATGCTTTTATTTCAGTTCGAGAGGGATGTGGTGGTGTGGAACAGCAAGGCGTACATGAAGAACCCAGCTCTGGTTAAAGAAGACCGTACCATCCTGTCGTTCCGCAAATGGTTTTCCCAGTTCTACAGCAGCAGCAGCCCCACCTGGGAGGACATACGAGATAAGACGCTACAATGGTGACGCCGAGTACGAAACCACTCGAGTGAATAAACAAAGGTCCCCCTTTGTGTGCGTGCAGCTGAAAGTGCGGAGGTCGATCCGACATTTAGTTGTGCAAAGCCTGCTTTCTTGCCCAGAGACGGAGCGCTGCATGTTTCAGAATACTAATGAGTGCGCAGTAGCCGATAAGGTAGACTGATTAAGGTCACAACTGCCATGGCTGCGGGTATGTACTCAAAGGCAGACGGTGCCCCGGTAAAAATCACAGCTCATAGGACTGAGCAGTGAGCAATATCCAATTAAAGTGGTATGAATGCCAAGACGACGTGACATCATCAAACGAGGTTTGAAAGTATTTGATAGGCTCCATCACCGGTTCGTCATATTGAATCGGCCGGATACTGTGCTCAAGTCTTTGAGCACAAAAGCAAGAATGGCCTATTTTTGGATGCTTTGTTTTACCAGTACTACTACGACAATATTTTGAAGAATACCCGAATAAAACGATCGTATAAAAGAAGGTCCTATTAAACGAGACGACACGAAATATGAAAATGGTGGGTGATTTGCATGGGCCCTTTTTATTAGTGACTTGGCGTGAAAAAACATTGTAGAACATTGTCGCTTCTTTTTTTTTTTTGTGATAACGACTCTATGCACAATTTGTGTAATAACTGTTTCCAGATAAATGTGATATGAACTCTTTTACGGATTGTGAATGCCTTTCAGAAACAAAAAAAAAAACCAGCGGTCAGTACAATGTTGCAGTGCGCTAGATTGCAGGCACGATTGCAGCACCGAGTCCTTAGTGCGACGGAGTCAGGAGCCATTGGCTCAGTTCAACAGCTGACTGCGCAAAAAGGAGTGAAGCCGGGGTCGCACTGCTATATACCATACAAAAGACATTCTGCCTACAGATTCGAACGCGAGTCACGGCGAGATCCGTGCTTCGAATGCTGCATGGCAACGAGTTCAGGGAGGAAACTTGGGCACGTGGTATTCGAACCACGGATATTGAGGTTATTCGTGTTTGCAGAATCTCGTTTGCAACTTGTAGGAGCAGCGTGACCCCGACTTTAAGGGACCGCGGTGCTTACAGACATAACCATTGACGTTGGAAAGGGTTATGAATGGTACAGACACCGACAGCTTAAACAACGCAGAGCGTCGCTTATTATAGAGTTTGAGGGTAACGTTTTTGCACCCCCGATACGTTTCGGTACGCATCTGCTACCGCAGAATACTCGGACATGCGCAGTGTGTACTGGAGGGTCTATTGTACCCTATCGGATGTGCAAATACGGTTCCCTTAAACTCTCGATTATGTTCTCGCTTCTCGCCTCGTGATTGGCCCCCGGGTGTTTTATCGGCTAATGCCGCAATCTTATTGGCTGCGGGGTTATGGTGAGGGACTCTGGACTCACCACGCCTAGCATTTGTAAGATGTCGTTGACTATAGTGCTATTAAAGACACGCTTTCCACCCCCTCTTCCAAAATAAATTAAAAAAAATGCTTGTATAGGTGCCATTCTTCCACGCTTTGGACCAATTAATTTTCATAAACTAGGAACAAATTCACACAAACACATGCACAAACACACCACACATATAGAAAAAAAAACCTTTAAATCGTTTTTGACCGTTGCGACAACACTGCCCATTCGTCACGTCGTTGTCAATAAGCTTGTGTGCATTGAGCATAAGACACAAGACACCCTGTGACGACTTTTTCGGAAAGAGCCAGCTCCTCTGCCCGCACAGATTGCCCAAGGAATCGATCGACGACAAATTGGTGTGTATGTTTATACAGCCTGAACTTAGTCTGCCTCAGCGGGCGACTTGTCTTCCAGGTGTAGATGAGAAGTTTAGCCAGTGCAGTACAACCGCATTCTTCGGGTCTTTAACGTGCATCACGCAGTAGTGCTACACGACCGCAGGTCGGTACAATGCTCATCCAGATCGAACCGGGCAGCGGTAGGGATTGAACCCAGGATCCCTGGGTTCTGCTGAACGACGACAATGCAGGCGTCTGCTGCTTCTTCCCGAACTTGGACCCAATCAGCTGCGTCCAGCCGGAACCTTTCCAACTACGTTATCGAGAAATAAAGCGCATCCATTCATTTCATCTTATAGTTTTTTTTTTCGAGTGAAAAAATAATAATAAAATTAATATTTTAACAACAGCATCTTCAAAGTTGCGCGATGACGCAACTTTGAAGGCTGGAGGAATAAAGAATGCAGCTTTCTACACCGTAAAATTTTTTATCGCTAATGCAAGCATACGTTTCCTTTAGAATTAGTTACAGTGAATTTATATGAGCACATATTTTAAGCGAAATAAAATGCCAAACTTGGCTTCCGGAGCAAATCTTACATAATGAGGCCCATTTTTCGGTGAATTTTTAAGTCACTTTAAATTTATGTTCTAAAGCTAAAACTTTTCGTATCGAGTGTTTCATGCCTTGTGGACTTTTAACAAAATAATTAGCGTTATACCGTTGAAAGTGTTTCCTGTATTGCTGCCGGAAATTTCGTAAAAACCGAAAAAGTAAACATTTTGCGATTCTTGTGCGGAAATTTAAAAAAAAATAATCATTCTCGAGTTTCTTTAAATTTTACGCAATAGGCCCTTGATGACCGGTGATTACGAATCTGCAAAAATATTTTGCATTATTTCGTTTAAAAAAAAATTGTGTAACCAGATCATGGTTGCATCAATTATCGCTGGGGCGCTTTTGTCTTAACGACTAGTGGTACACGAGCGACGCATGCCACAGTATCCGTACTTGGTCGTATTAATGCCCAGGTGTTATGAAGCACTATAAAAAATAGCACATGAACTTGGTTTCATTTCTGATGGGGCTGATATTGCCAATAAAAACTGAACGTTGCGGCACGTACGATCCTTATTAGATTGTTATACTTGGCTGGTTAGATGTTCATTGTGCTACCATTTAAAATTATTACTTTAATATTAGTGCCTGGCTGACAAAATATTTTGATTCGTCTTTCTAGGCACCGCTCGAAAGCTTGCTTACAAAATAGTTCGATTCATTTCTGTGGGCATCGCTTGGAACAGCGACATTGCGGAAACTTCTGCCCCGACTGATGGCAGGCGTGGCTAAGGCGGAACGAAAACTGTATATGTCTCGAAAAACAATGGCAAATGAGTAGAAATCAAAGTTGAGTTAGAGGGGATTTAGGTAGCGTAAGCGGTTCAGTGTCGGAGGCAACAGCCAAGGGCCCGCTCGGGCGCTACTAAAGTCGCTCCAACAGGGTCTCTTGCGACGCCTCATCCGTGATCAGAAAAGTCGTGATCTGTGACTGAGTCGAGGGGGTGCAAGAGTTATCGATCTGGGTAAATATTTTTATAAATCCCGAGAGGGTCATAGAGTGCAAAAACCTACAGATGTTTATTTGCAATTACAACGCTCTTGGTGAGAAGCAGCCAGCGCCGCCACCGAATGCCGTAAGCCGTCACACGCGCACTGGTTCGTGGTCCACTATAAACAGAAAAGAAAGAAAGATATGTTGACCAGGCGACCGGTCTACACCGCGGAGAGGTCTTGCCAAAAAGAGGACGTAACACAAGTTCTCGAAACAACGGTAGTTTAATTAAAACGATTATTTCTATAGAAAGAAGAAGAGTATAATGGGGTCCACAAGTACCGAAACGTGGCAATAAATAGTCTTAGCACTTTACCCAGCCGGTGCACCGGTGGTAAAATGCAAATATACCTAGCGAATACACAGAAAAAAAAAAAACAATGACTAGACAATTGAAATCTTAAATTTTAAAATCCTGAATTACTACCAACCAGATTGCAATAGTGAGGAGCAAGCGGGTGGAGGGAGTGGCTAACCTGTTACTGTCAGGGAGTTGCGGCCTCTTCCCTTCATGGTCCGAAGAGGGTGGTACCGGTGGATTCCACGGTGAGCTAGTGGGCAGCTCGATGAAGCCAGCCAAACACTCACTCACACTCACACACTTCTCGCGAAGGCTTCCCCAGCACAGACCTGGCCCGCCACCGTCGCTTTTCCCTATCCGCTTTTTTGCAGATCGAATCTCACAGCTCAAAGTACAGAGCAGATTTCATTTTCACACAGGTCGCATTTCGTGCAAGACGAAAAGAGCGTGGTTGAAAGCGCGATATGTCAAACCAGGTGCAGGAAGGCCTTCGAACCGTTTGTTCCGCGGGGTATTGTTTATATTGAAGGGCATAGGAATTTGGAAAACTGTAATGTACGCATGGGTCGGTCTGCGGGTAATTCAACGAGAGGAGTCTCTAATATATCCGGGCGCAGCTAGATTTGGTGGAACAATTAACCTACTAGAACACGTTCAGGGGACTCGGGGCTTCTTCCACTCAGGGTCCGCGCTGCGTGCCATGAACGAGAAATTCTCCTGATCTGATTTTTCATATTTCCAGATGTGAAGCGACTAGATTCTAGGTACCCTCTTGGCGTCCTTCCACTCGTTTTTTTCTTTCTCGAAATGCCTCAAGCTCGCCATCCACAATGTAGAGTGAGGAGACGTTTTTCATTTTTCCTTCCAGTGCCCGTGTAAACCAACTCGAACCTTGTACGGCGTCAATGGAAAGCGCCCGGATATTTTGCAGGGTGGCTGGGTGTTTTACAAGTCCCCCTACCACGTCGCGTGCATTCTTGCCTTGCCCTGTTGCCGAAAAGATCCACCTCGCCGTCTGGAGCTTACCCCACTGCAACTCGTGAAATTGATATCGGTTCTTAGAATGAGCAGCTGCTCCATCGCTAACGAAAGTGAGGCGAAAGTAGATTGATGCGTTGTCCTCGACGTGTGCCTCAATTTTTGAGAAGTTTAAGAATGCATGCGCCGAATCACGAGTTAGATTGTCGCAAATAGCGGATTAGCTTCACGTCGACTTCGTTGACGTTACAACGCACGTAAAGAAGCTGTTTTGAATCATAGGCGGAAAATCCTCGATGTGCTCTGGAGCGGACAGAACTACGGACCCATGCGTCAAACATGTTTCGTACATTCA